ATGCTATCCATGGCTACCACTCCAACAACAGCCCACTGACATAACCTGGCTCCATACCCTTAGTTGCGTCGATCTCAAAGGATGCTACTGCATATACTTCTTCAGGTGAACCACCATTGTCAAAGGATTCTACTGATGTTCACCTTTCTCCTTCCTCAATGCATGCACCCGACGATAATCTTCTGCTTGCATCATCCTCTCCACTGTGTCTCACCCCACCATCATCACCTTCCCCTGTCCAGCCTTCTAGTAATCACCAATCCCAAAAGTCCTCTCAGCCCTTGCACACCCATCCCATGAAAACTTGCTCTCAATCAGGAATCTTTAAACCCAAACTATATTCTACCAAATACCCACTCCCCACTACCCTTGGTGCCACCACCGTCATGGAACCCCGTTCTTATACACAAGCATCCAAAAGCCCAGAATGGCATCACGCCATGGATCAGGAATACACGTCTCTTCAACACCAAGGTACCTGGACACTGGTGCCTTTTCAACCCACCATGAATGTCGTTGGCTGTAAATGGGTGTACCGAGGTAAACACAACCCAGATGGCTCTGTTAGCAGGTTCAAAGCAAGACTGGTTGCTAAAGGTTTTCATCAACAACCGGGTATTGACTTCATTGAAACTTTCATCCCAGTTGTCAAACACACCACTATATGGGTTGTTCTTTCTCTAGCCGTCACTCTTCAATGGCCACTTCACCAGTTGGACGTTGAATGTGCATTTTTCCACGGTGATGTTCAGGAAAAAGTCTATGGCTCAACCTCCAGGCTATACAAATCCTTTATGACCCACACATGTTTGCAAGATGCGTAAGTCCATATATGGCTTATGCCAAGCACCACGAGCCTGGTATGAGAAATTCAGTTTTACACTTTTAGATTTTGGGTTCACCATCTCTACTTCTGATTCTTCCCTCTTTATTTACCATCGTAGACACAATATCCTCCTCCTCTCCTCTTATTGTATGTTGATGATATCATCATCACAGGCAGCAACTCCACACTAATTTCTACACCCATTGTGTTTCTTAATACCAACTTCAAGATGAAAGACTTAGGTCCATTGTCCTATTTTTTGGGTGTTCATGTTCATTGTACTCACACTGGGCTCTTTCTTAATCAGTCCAAATATGTTATGGATCTCTTGGATCGTGCAAATATGGGGGGTTGTGAACCTGCATCCTCACCCACTTCCTCCTCAATCACACATGACGATAGTCCATTGTTGCATGATCCCTCTACATATTGAAGCCTGGTTGGAGCTCTTCAATAAATCACCCTAACTAGGCCTGGTATTGCTTTCACTGTTAATCAGGCATGCCAGCATTTACACTCACCCACTGAGGCTCATTATACTGCTGTGAAAAGAATTCTGAGGTATCTAAAAGGCACCATCACCACTGGACTACATCTTCAACCTGGCCCACTGAAGTTAAGTGCCTGTTATGCTGATTGAGCTGGTTGCCCACTTGACCGGTGGTCCACTAGTGGCTTCTGTGTTCTTCTCAGCCCAAGTCCTATTTCATGGTGTGCTAAGAAGCAGCCCACGTTGGCTCGTTCCTCCACTGAAGCAGATTACCAATGTCTTGCCCAAACTGCTGCTGAAATTGTTAGATAGTTGTATGCCCTTAGCTTCAATCAGAATKATGTACATTATGAATTTATTGTAAATGAATAAAGTACACATTTGATTCATGTTCCTATGGTGTGTTTCTRYGTWATRCCCTTAAACTGGACACTTAATGAGACTTGTGTTAGTTTAGAATGTTCACAGCCATTGGGTAAGTCTGGGGAGATTTATCCTGCCAAGGCTGACACTGGTGTGC